TGTGGGTACGCAGTCATGGACTGCCCACAGTGTTGAATTGATGTTTCTTCCAATGCGGGCAAAGATCAGTGGGGTTCTGTATGTGACAGTGAATGTGTGTGGAAAATCTAAATCTGGGCACATTTTAAAGGCTGCCTCCTGTTCCAAAACTTTGGGTTAGAGTACTGTGTTGCAGCAAGCACCTTCTAACATGACCATATTCATATAGGGGTTTCCAAAAAAAATGGTGGGTACCCCGATAGATGGATGGTTCAATGGAAAATCCCAATCGAAAATGGATGATTTAGGGGTACAGTAGCCCTATTTCAGGAAACCTATGGTAGGGGCAGGTTGACTTGACAAGATCAGCATGACGTCCATGGTTCATGGGGACTTGAGGTCATGTTCGGTGAGTTACACCTCACCTGGACCGGCCGTGTGCCCAGTGTGCAAAAAAAGAAACCTTGGCAGTTTCCGCGAATTTTTGGTTGATTCATTTGTAGACAAATGTACAATGTTCCATGAATATCCATGAATAAGATTTAGAGATATTTAGGATGTACGGTGTACCATTTGCCTGGATTAAGTCACTCCATGCAAGAGCTATCAAGCATGTCCATAGACAGCATCAGCTGGCTCTATATACCCAAATCATTTTCCGGCATTGCCGGGTCATCGGTCGTAGAAACAATCGTACAGCCTCCGAGCCTCCAAATGGCTGAAATACTATGTGGTTGTCAGTGGTTTTCCGTTATGGTACAGCAATTTTGTGACTTTCTCAAAGTGCAAGACACTGGACCGTTTTCTACCTGAGATCCCCTAAGTCAACCCATGTTGGTGTGTGTTCTTTTGCTAGTGCCATCCCTGAAGCGTGGCGTGTCGAAATTGGCTGGGTTTTGCCGTCTTCAGAATTCTTGGGAATGCCCAACTCGCAACTTTGGGTGTTTTATCCTAATTTCTATTGGTTCTGTTTACATTGGTTGTTGCTTCGTGGAGGTCCGCGATACAACCCAACTCTTTGTTCTTGGCTTTTCAACTGGGTCTTAGGACTTCTGGTGCCTAGGCCACGCCAGTCTTGGAACCTTTGTCAGTTTTGGCAGCTTGGCGATCGGGAGACAACGTGTCACGTGGATCGAGTCAGCGACACGAGTTTGGAACCCTGTTTATGACCAGGGAAACACCAGCAAATTCGAATCGTCTTGTTTGTGAGCTGACTTTTGCCATGCTTGTAGTAGTTCCTCTGTGGTTATTGCTGCATATCGCTGCCTTTGGAATCCTTTAGACATTGAACATTTTGGCCATGCTGAGTGGGGTAAAAAAATGGGATTCACAGTGATTGCGCCGCAGGTATGATCGTAGCAATATATACGCTCCTTTTCAGAATCAACATGGACATCTGGGATAATCTGGCGGTCCATCAACGAATTATCTTGAAGTCTTTGAGCTATGACTACTTTACAGTGAAACTTTCTGGTCTCCAAACTCGCGCGACTCCTATTTCAAAAGGCCGGTAGAAAAGTCAGACATTGGCGTGCTTTCTTTGTCCCACTTTGTTCAGAGCCACGAGGCTGGTTCGGGCATCCTGGGTGTACTGGGCGTCAGCGGCTCTGGGAAGTCTTCTCTCCTGGCTGCTCTCGTACCCTGGATGCAGACCTGTGGCCATGACCAAATGACCTGCAGTCCACAACGGGATGCGGATCAGTTGTCTTCTCAGAATTGAAGGGATGAATCGAAGCTTGAGCTCGGCAGACTCCCCAAATCATCCCAAATCCACCACCATTGGCTTGACTGATTGGAACGGATCATGGCTAAGGGTGTTTGATACTGAGGCAGGTGGTCTACCCTGCAATGGCTCCATGCAGGGTCAGGTGCCTCGTTGAGCCGACACGATTGGTGGGACCTGGCCACCGTGTAGGATGGATCCCTTTAGGATACATGTGGAGACCACTTTCTAACTTTTTTCCTAGGACCTAGGACTTTGAAAAATAGAACATAGGACACTAGGACCACGTGCTTGCTGGGGATCTCCTTACCAGAGTCTTGGTTTGTTCAGAGTTGCTGCTTGACAATGGTTAGTGCAAAACGATATCCAATTTTTGTCAGCTAACGAGTGCCCTGACTGAGCGCCGCATCCATAGAATGGTCCCCACACCTTTTTCATTTATGTTTGAATCACCATGTCCCCACTACATGGAAGCTTATAGAAGGGAACCTATCCAGAACCGAGAAATATGGCCTTCATACGGCGCAGTCCACCACTTGCACCGCCTTGGAACTGGGTAGGCCCTGTTGGATGGTCAACGTTTGGCATCCCTGCACCAGAGCTTTGGGGCTGTGGGCTACTGCCCGCAGGCGGGGATGGGCTGCACCCGTATTACTCTCTGGTAAACTAACAGTTTGCTATTGAAAATGGCCATAGAAATAGTGCATTTTCCCATTAAAAATGGTGATTTTCCATAGTTATGTTCAATTACCAGAGGGTACAGTATACAGTATATACTTTACGCCAGAGAAGTGCAACGTGCAAAGACTACGACGGCGCGCCAGGAAAATGAACTCACTCCGGGACTGACCGTTCGAGAACAGATCGAGTTGGGAGCCAAGTGGAAGCCGCACGAATGGCTATCAGATGCTATAAACAACTTTGTAGATTGGAATGAAATGATTTGGTTACTTTAAGATGGCAACATTTCTAGATTTCCGACATGTGGTTTCCCTTTGCACATTTTGCACTTTAGCACACGCTTCGACAACAAGATCGACTTCGCCCCTCCAAAGGCTCTTCGGTCGCTTGCGGGGACTTGCCGGAGACCAACTTGATGCGGAGGCCCCGTGGAAAGCATCGAAATCCACAGGCACATGGCCTTCCAATGAGCTGTTGGTGGCTATGGCCCTGGCTCAAAATCAGACCCAGCTTTGGTCAATACTGTAGGACCGGAGTTGATACGAATTTACAATAAGCATCCACTAAACTTGGGGGTGCTCCCAAGTTTAAACTCTCCCCAACTGGAAAAACCATTGGTGTTTCTCCTCTCAAGGGGACTCGATTTCTGCCAGGTACGGTGGCTTTGCTTCACTCTGGACCTCGAGGTCTGGCCGTGGGCTTCTGAGTAATCCTACTTGTAATAGGATTGACTACAGAATACAGATTGAATATCATCGAATTGTGTGTCCATGTTGAGTATCTCATGTGAAACGAGCGATGTCTAAGGAGCGCGTTTGAACATGTTTAAGCTATTGCAGCCATCTTTTAACGGAAATGGGGCCGCTGCAGGTTTCCACTTGGGATCCCCCCATCGCCAGGCTTTTGAAGAAAGCCAAAGTGAAAACCTCTCGGGTGGAAATCAACGAAAACTGCAATGTGTCTTGGCGCAGAAACGACCGCGCAAGAAACGGCCGGTGAAAAAAAACCCTGGGTGGCAGAAAGATTTTGAGTTGTGACAATTCGAACTTTCATGATCTTTCATGTAAAAACATCATGCTTCTGAAACGATTCCAATTTTTGTTTTGACATGTTTAACGACTTTTACACAATTTCAAATGGGGATGGGTCAAAACCCTGCTACCTAGTGAACCCCAAAATAGCTGGTAAATGGATGTTCATCCCACTAAAAATGTATCTATAGGTATTTACCAATACCCAAATTGTTTTTTTGGATGGGCGGCTGCCTCACCAGTGGATTTCTGTGATTTGATATTCCCAAGAATGGGAACATCCAGGTGCCTGCGCGCTCGTGGGAAGCCCGCGGCTGCGTCCTGGCTCGAAACTGGATGTGATGTGAGAGTGGATGCAATATGTGAAACATTGTGAAAGATTTTATTTGTTCACTTTGTTCATTATCCTATGAATACTAATCAATATTAATTACGTATTTTGTGATATTTCGAGATTATCATTATGCTATGAGGATTGTTCTTAGACTCATTTTTTCCCGTCCTCAGTTACTAGGCGTTCAACAATTTTCCACCATGGGGCCATGGGATGTGATTTTAGGATTTTGAAATGGTGATAACATGTGATAACCAATAAATAGCCAATTTTCATGAATATCTCCCAATATGGGGCCTCATTTTATGAGCCATGAAGAGCTCAATACAGGGACGCAACCTGTCGCCCAGGGTCTGTCTGGATGAGCCTTCTGCAGGGCCCAGGGCCCAAATTGCTGACTGTGGATATGGCTATGGGTCAATACCTGATACCATTTTTAGGAAAATGAACATCCATAAATCCCAGCTATTTTGATGTGAACTACAGGGGTACAGGGTTTTGACCCATCCCCATATGACTCAAAATCAAAGACATTCATAGACCACAAATGGCGAGGTTTGATGCTGAAGTTGTCCGAATCGAAGCGGTTAAAGCGGCTACCTCCAGAAATCAAACCTGGCAATGGAAAAATCACCCAGCCATAATCAGCCATATCGATTTTATAGAGGATGCCAGGATGCCCAACAATGGCAGCTGGCGCCATGTTTGATTGCTGGAAGGCAACCAACCGTGGCACCTAAAATAGTGGTCGTCATCCGCATGAAGCTGGCCTAGTTGGCTAAACCAAACAGGGCGGCTGGGCGGCTCGTCGCATCTAGGCTGGATCCGATGGCTAGAAGATGCTTGGGCAATTCACTGAGAGCCAAGATGAAGGCCCGGTGACAGGGCATTCAAATTTGGCAGTGAGTTCTCAGGATTCATAGCGGTATTTAATTTTTTGTTTGGCTGACTGCAGCAAGATTGAAGATATTGAAGATGACGTGAGGTTTTCTGGTTCATTCTCTGACTGAGCCGAGTCCAGTCAAGAGTAGTTTCCTGAAGGCAAACAGGAAGCCATCTGGTATATTATTTTTGGACCAGGGCTAGTATTCCACCCACTTGAGCTACTGGAAAGACTCTTGTTGATCAGTGTTGAATGGGTGTACTTGCTTTGTGAATATCTAACCCATTCTCAACAAATTGCAGGTCTGTTCCAGTAAACATGTTTATTTTCCTGGGCCTACAATGTTGAGGATTTTTGAAGCTCTTGGTAATGGGTCGGCATAGGCCATTGCACACCGACATCCGTGGAGGTCCTTTCTGCTGTCATCATTGCCACCAAATCCATCGACGAGGTGCAAGCCGACGAGTAGCCAAGAAAAACACACACTGTTTTGAATGGTAAAAAGTGGTGAATTGATTGATATGTTCATGGATCAATACCATATTCAATACCTAATAATACCATTTTTAGGGGAATGAACATCCATTTACCAGCTATGTTGATGTTCACCAGGGGTACAAGGTTTTGACCCATCCCAATATTGATTGTGATTTCTCCAGCCTTTGTGAACAGGATTGTTCAAACAGGGCAGAACCCAGCATGGTTCCATAAGGTGTGGCATTTACATACATTTATAATCATTTATAGTAACCCCCGAAAAGATAGAAGTGTTGTACCATGTTGTACGACTATATGTTACTTTGGTAGGATTCGACTTTTCCTCATTCTTGGGGTTTGCGAATGTTTCGGCAAGACCCTATGGTTTGCGCGGAAGGTTAGAACATGTTAGAACGGTGTTCTATCATTGTCCTTCGGCATGCTCAAATACCTGCGCAGGGCCAGTGTTTTGGTATTTCCCAGACGACTAACCCTAAACCCTAAATTCTAAATTCTAAAATTCTAAACCCTAAATTCCAAACCCTAAATTATATTTTAAACCCTAAAGACCCGACACCCTAAAGCCCTAACCCAAAAAGCCTAAAACCCTAACCAAAAAACCCTGAAAACCTTGAATCCTAAACCACTGCATATACGCAGTATTTTCTGCCATCTCTCTTATCATGTTCGACAACAAGGCGTCCTCAATGTTGCAGTCCGGGCAAACCACGGGGTCTGTGCGTAATGTTAGCTATGCATAGCTATGCGTATATTTATCTCGTATAGAACCATAATACTGTATAGAACCAATAGCTGTAGTAATCCTGTGTCCATGTTTTGGAAATGAACCACTCCAGGCCGATGCACTTTGCTCCAAGTTGATGTTCTTGACGAAGGATGGTTGCTTGAGGACCGTTGGCACCTAGGCTGTCAGGTCGTGGCATTAGCTTTTTCGAAGGGTCAGTTGGAGCCATTACCACAGGCTTCTCTTTTTCGACCTGAGCAGCGACGGTTTCGCAAATGCTGAAGATTTTATGTTTATTTGTGCAGCGAGATCTTAGTTTTTTATACATTTGAATAGATTTTCACGAGTATCCTGCCCTCATCGTGCTGACACAAATGGTCCATTGGTAGTGCTATTCAACGCTATTAACATCTATTAAATCTATTAATCATCCAGTTTCAGAGGCCTTCACACCCTCTTGGTGGTTTCAACATGGGATGATGAGGATGCCAAATTGCAACTATGGGGATGGGTCAAAACCCATCAAAAGCCTAGTGGCCTTTTTTTGAACATCAAAATAGCTGATAAATGGATCTTCATCGCCCAAAAATTTGGTATTAAAGGAGTTGATAGCCATATGTATTCCGGATTTTTAAAGGTGTATAGATCATTCTGAATCCCCAGGGGTCAATTTACCTATGAATCCGTATTTCAACCATGGATGTAAATGCCGGATGTTTAATAAGTTACCCTCTGGTTATTTAACATAGCCATGGAAAATCACCATTTTTAATAGGTAAACCCGTAAACCATCTATTTCTATGGACCATTTTCATCCATTTTCCATGGCTATGTTAGTTTACCAGAACCATTTCCGGTTGACCAGCCAGTCGCGATGAGGCAGCTCCCTGGAAATCCGTCAGCGCTACGGCGGCGGCCATGAGCTACGCGCCACCCTGCGGCGGCCCAGCATGCAGGTGTCATGGGATACCCGGCCTGGTTATGTCTTAACAGTTAGCTATTGAAGCCATGGCCCAGTCGAAATAGTGAGTTTTCCCATGAAACATGGTGGATCTTTCCAGTTCGTTATGTTAGTCATTACCAGAGGGTATATCCACTCACATCCCTGTTTTTTGGTTGATTGAACCCCTATAATCACCATTAAATCCCATTAAACCACCATTAAATCCCCATATCACCAGGCCGGGTATCTTGGGATGGGGACAGAACTCATCAAAACATCAACACATGGGACTCCGTTCTGTTGCACCGATAAACCCTGAGCGAGTGAATGGTATGAAATCGTATTAGAATTTAATATCGTATAATATAACCTCCCTACTGTAGTAACATTTTTTTTTGTATCCGAATCTGAACATTGGTACACAGCCAGATATGTATAGCGTACAAGCCATTTGCCAACCAGTGGGTGCGGTAAACCCAACAAATCCGAAGAATCATCCATCCTCAATTGTTATCAAACAAGGTTATCAACCGGGTCTATGTATGTTCATGGAATAATAGTGATCATGATAAATTATGATATATCATGGTTATATAGTGTATGTTCATGTGGGACTCCCAATTATAAACCTACCATTTGGACATGGTTTATAGTTTGAACCACCCATTTATGCTGATTTCGGGGATTGTTTATTGTTGGACTATCATTTACCACATTCATAGGTTTCCCATCCAGTTACTGTACACATCAACATTCCATAAAGAACCTTTTTCACGGCGCAGGAAGTCTATGACCAAGTGCGCTCCGATCCCTCGTTGCTGCGCGGCTTCATTGGCAGCTGCTGCCGTTCGCTGGGCATTGACCCCTCGGAGGAGCTGTTGGAGGCGACGGCGACGGAGGCCACTGGGCAGCTGGCAGACGTGATGCGGCGGCTGAAGGCCGCAGCGCTAGAGCTGGAAGAGCTCGAAGAGGCCCCCTTTGTCTGAAATGGATGGGTATACCCATAAAACAGCCATTTTCATAGGGATAAAAAATGATACTGTATATCGCTGTATATAAAAGATAGAATATGGCATTTCATGTACCCCATTTTCAGACAAACGCAAATGTTTTTTCTTCTTTTGCCGCACATTTATGGTGATTTGACATGATTTCACATGGTTCAACATGACTTAACTTTGGAAAAATTGTAGTACAATGGGGATATACAGTATAGTGTGAATTTATGTGAATTTCCGGATGTTTTGGGAATTCTTGTCGGAGTACTCTCGGCATTGAGCTGGTTCTCTGAGATGTCCCTTTTCGATCCTTTTCGATCCACCAACAACTCGGAGGATTCAGCCAGCAATACTTTTGCACAACTGGTGATGCCACTGGGCTTAATGTCAACCCTGGATTAATAAACCCTTAGGCTGTTTAATTGGGGGGGGGGTTACCATTTAAGTATCAGATTATGACTATTGGAGGAGTACCCCCTAATTAACAAACCATGGTTTATTAATCCGGGGTTGACATTACCGTAATATGGTAATTTCTTCCTGAAACCAACTCTATTGCATTCCCACGAGGTGACAAAACGACTTGAAAAGTTTGGTGGAACCCCAGGCCCAAGAATGGGCTTGAAAGCGGATTCTCTCATAGATTGTAACGTTCTTTGTGTTTACAGTGGTTCCAGTGATCATTCAAAATCGACCCAAATTCTGGATGGTTTCCTTCTCAGATTCAACCAGATTTGGGTAAGATAACCACTGCATTTGTCAGAAAAAAATAGACCATCCCCTTCCAGTGACTGGAAAGTCTGAAAGTTGCTGGATTTGGGTGTGTCTGGAAATGGGGTACCTCATTCCGTCATGCTCTCATCCACTGGTTGAAATATATTCATACTGTCAGTGGTTTGCACACCATCTATCCCCATTTGTTTTTCAGTATCACATCTATTCACAGTTCATCGATTTTCATCTTTCTCTTGTCAACTTGTGGGCATTTCATGCCCTGCTGGGAGGAGGCACCGGAGACTGTGGAACTCTCAGAGGATTCGGAGGAGATGAAGGCTGAGTTGGCCTCAAGGTGCCAGATTGGTCCGAAGCCGCGTCCCAAATTTGTGTTTGTTTTGTTTAATCCTTGACTCTAGGAGAAATACATGGGATACGTTTATACTCACTTCCCCAAGAAATGCTCGTGGAACCGAATGGATTTGTTCATTTCTGGGTTCCATCTAGGGGAAATTCTTTTGGGGGGAAGGGATTGCTTGGGATTTCCATACCGGGCATATCTACCCACGACATCCTGACACAAGTATCGTAGCCCGAAAACAGCATGCTACAAGTAACTGACGTCTGGTAGAAACCATCGGCCCAAAACAGCTCAACATGGCTTGACACCAAAGGTCGGCTTGATAGGGGGATGTGCAGGTGGGTGCCTTGACCAAATCTGCCGGCAGGAGCCAACGCATCATCGAGGAGTTGAAACCCATGTTCCCCAAGATTGAAGTTGTTGAGGAGGCTGAGAAACCCTCTGAAAATGGGGGATCAGCCAGCCCCAAGTTCTGGCCAAAAATTATGATATGATCATCCATCGGCATGGCTGGTACTGTATACTCAATCCGGAATAGTCAATAGATGCCATTTCTTGCGGTTCGGTTAAAGACCACACCTGTGTTTCATGGAGAAATTATGATAATCCACGACCTACAAATTTGGCCAACCAGTATAGGTTATATAAAGGATGCGAAGAAAACTTGCTGAGCTGGTTTTTATGGCGGTTGATCGGGGTCTGGATATGTCTAGATGCCCAATGTTACATAAGTGTACAAGCAATCCCACTCATAGTGGTTGGATGACCATGCCCCATGTTGCATCATGTTGCAACGCCACAGGCTTCCTTGATTGCGTGGCTGACCCGGCCCCATCTAATCCCGTATAATTAATTCTGATAACTTCTATCATGATTGCATGTAGCTTTGTAATCATTCTGACAATCATTATCACAATATAATTATATAGACACGATAATATAATATAATATAATATAATATAATATAATATAAATATAATATGATATAATATAATATAATACAATATAAAAAATATGATATATAATATAATATAATATAATATATATAATATAATATAATATAATATAATATAATATATAATATACTACAATATAATATAGTACAATACAATAAAATAAAATATAATATAATATAATATAATATAATATAATATAACATAATATAATATAATATAATAATATATATTTATATATATCATAATACTGTAAATAAATATATAAATATATATCATAATATATATAATACAATTATATATCATAAGATATATATAATATAAATATATATCATACTATATATATAATATAAATATATATCATAATATATATAATATAATTATATATCATAATATATAATATATATATATATCATAATATATATATAATATAAATATATATCATAATATATATATATATATATCATAATAAATAACATACTATATATATATACATAATATATATATATATATATATCATTATATATATATATATATCAATATATCACAATCATTATCTAATCCAAGCCATGGATTTCTGCAGATTTCGGCTTTTCCCATGGTTCCAGGTCTCGCTGCTGAGAGTCTTCCAGCTTCAAGACAAGAAGCGCAGCAGCGATGCCTCGGTGGCCGACGTCTTTCGACAGGCCGCAGCAACGGTGGTTTTTGCCCCCAAAAAGATCCAAAACGGCGGAAACGTTCAGGGATTTCAAGGCAAATCTTCAAAAGGAATTTAGAATTTCAATAAAGTGGTAAAATCCTAGTTTTCTGCTTCTTTGATGTTTGTTGATTGGGCTAGGAGCTTCATGAACTGAGTTTGAGTTCTGAAATTAGCTCGGATGGAATCCCAAAAGGGCAAGAAGGCATGATCATGATCCCACCAAAAACCAGTGGTGCAGTCACTTTGAAGAATCCTTGGTGCAGGTGGCTGTTTTGACCATGGGCGCTTTTCTTTAAGCCCAAACATTTGGTGCACATTGCTGTGCGAAACAAGAGTATTTTCGAGTTTGAAATCATGAAGTGGGAAACGCACTGCTGCTAGTATGAAAACATCTTGGTTGAAAGTCAACCTGATGGATGCAGCATGGATTGGATTCCCACATGGATCAGGTGGAATCTCGGAAAGAGCGCTTGAAGATTGCAGACTATTCCATTACCCAAGCTTCACTGGAGCACGTCATTGGGCCAAGCTTCAGGTGGTGCCAAATTGACATTTTTAAGGGTTGGTTTTCGATTTGGATCAGGTAAAGATCTGCAGGGTTTACCCCTCTTATTTGTCCCTGGCATTCAGAATTAAGGGTTTAACCATGGGTTTTCATGGGTTTTCCTATGGCGCCTTCCTAAGCCAATCGGGGCATTGGGACATGACTGGACCATAACCCAGCTCAGCCCAGCTCTGAGATCAGTTCGGGCTCAGGTCTTCAATCAACTTGCACGGCAAGATCATTGAAACCTCGCAGAATCGACCACTGGAAGATGCTGCTGAAGCCGCTGGCCGCCCCAAGGCCCCAAGGCCGCATCCACTACCGCCCCGGAGCAGGACGTCAAGCTCTAGGATGAGGTCAGCGCTTGGATCGCGGTTGAAAGTTTTTCAAAATTGCCTAGCGAGATAGAATCAAGGGATATCAAGGGTCCCAGTTGAGAAAAAACTGAAAACGTTGGACCCTCGTAGAATCCTCTTGCTGGGCGTTTGCCATGCCCACGAAGCTTGACTGCGATGCTGGCAAAATGCGTTGCAGCAGGGTGTTTCATGCCAGACATTTTCACCCACTAAATGCAGGATCATGGTGTGGTGCCCTGTCTGCTTATCACAGGCAGATGCAAGAGACCTTGTAGACTTGAGTGCATGGTGATTCATGTGTTGCAGTTTGTATTATCATTCTGTCAATGCTATTAATAGAATGATTAAAATGTCAATATAGGCTGCTGAAGCTGACACGATGTTGTGGCAAATCCAGAGGAATTTCTCTCATTCGGCTGTGGTTTCTACCTCCCAGCCTTGGCCAAAGTCGCTGGGGAAGCCACAAAAAAGCGTCATTGAGTCATACCCACGATCAAGATCGATCGATTCATCCAAACTGAACCATTTCTGCTTCACGTGAAAGCTTGAAATGGATTCGTTCGCGATTTTATTCTAACCTTTAGCATCTTCGCATTTCCATGTATTTCCAGCCATTCAGACTGGAATGAACCTCCAAACAAACCCCTGGATCTGCTAACATTTCACACTTTTCAGGGGGGACCTGCCAGTTTACCTGCTCCGAAACTTGTACTTCTCGGAGTGCTGAAGTGGGGTCAGATGGTCTTTCTGCCTTTGCCGGCCGACTTGGACGATTCCAATGATGACGAGGGTGTTCTGGAGGCTTCGGGACTGGGCATTGACTTCTGTGTTTATTCTATCCACAGGGTTCATTTGGGTTTGTCTCAGATTAGGACCAGGAATCATTAAGGTATGTACCCCCAAAACCTCTGGGTTTTCATCATTTTCCCGTATTTGTCCTGGTACGATGGCCGTTTGGATCCATTTATATAGAGGCTATGCCCCATTTTCAGATGTTTCCCCACTATATCTCCATTAATGGTTGGTTTCATCTCAAGTTTTTGGTGCGAGTTACTCGGTAAAAGCAGTTCTTATTCCTGGTGGAAAATCTGAATATATACTGTACATATTAAAATTATATAATATATGTTATAGATACACAGAATTTATTAGTTAAATCCATGTATATATACGTATATATATATTATACACAGATACATATGTAATTATGTAATATAATGTAATATATACGTATATATATATACATATGTATCCCATTGTATCCCCATGAAATCCCACAGCCATTTGGTCCCGCCCAGGCCAGTCGGCAGCTCTCCCAGTATGTGGCCCGACGTCGACGTCACGCTTTGCCGGCCGTGGCGGAGGCCGGCGACGGGGCGAGTACCCCAAATATGAATGGATGATTTTGGGGGTCTCTCCAATTTTAGGAAACCTCAATTTACCATGAAAATTGGGATATATCCTGGGATATACTGGGATTATAAAGGGATATAATGGGTTTAGAATGTATTATAATTTTAAAATATTTTATATAATGTTATATATACTTACATATATTATATATATAATGGGATATAATTGATACAATGGTATATGCTGGGATTATAATGAGATATACGGGGATTATGATCCACTGAATACGATATATCTTCCGGTAATCTGTCACAGTTTGCTATGGAACATCACCATTTTTAATGGTTAAATCATCTATACATGGGCAATTGGACAATATGTTGTATTACCCGAGGGTATGGAAGAGGAAAAAAACAGTTAAGTGCAAAGCCGAATAATTCACGATTATTGATTATGCACTTAAGCATCCGGTTAATTTTTCATGTTCTTGTTTTTATTTGATTATCCATTAGATATGGCTGCGGACCCCGGATTCGGAGCGTTTTGAGTATGAAAACCATCCAAGGATTTGAGTCCATGTTGACCCATGCCCACCGATGTCTGAAAATGAGAGACCCAGTCACCCATCCCAAAGTTTTCCCACACGTTTTCCTGAGGAAAGCCTCGGTTTTGTTCTTTAAGTACCCCTTAAGTGTGAGAAACAACAAATCTCAATTCTCCAGATAAATCCAGATATACATGACACCCAGATAGAAGATGATGTTCACTTGTCTATTCAATTGTCAATGTTTATGAAATAATCCAGAGTCGAATTCACAAAATCCTAATCGACTCTGGATGATCCCAGGAATGTCCATCCTATCCACTTCCTTAGTCAGCCTTGGTCATCGTTTGATCATCTCACTGAAAATTGGTTGATTGGACTGATTGGAATTGCTACAGGGGTAAAACCCCGATACCAGTATTTAGAGGTAAAATTCCGAGGTTGCCTATATTGGAACTTAGAGCAATTCATTGAAATATTTGAAATAACAAATATGTATTTTCAGAAGGTTTGAGGAAACTGGTTTGGTATTCAACTACAGAGCCACCTTTTTAGAAGTCGATGGCTTGACTCAAGAAATAGAAAATGGCTTGGAAGAAGAACAACACCATTTGTTCTTGAGGAAGATGGCTTGCTGTCCTCAACTTCAAATCCATACTCCCAATTGATTTCCGGTTGTACATCCCATCACATGAAATATTCTCACAATGTTGATGAGATTCCCATTGCATGACTGTATGACCATATTGTTTCTTGCATTCCCATCATATTTCCAAATTTGATTGTTGGATGCTTATATCCTCATCGTATCACCATCACCATTATTGTCACTTATGGTATTTATATTTCATGAATATCCCCATCCATCTTTCGCGGGTGCTGCCAGGCGCCGCAAGGACTTTCCGGCGGCGTTAGCGGCGGTTCCGCGGAGCTGCGAGAAGTGCTGCAGCAGCGCGTGACGCGCCTGGCGGAGGAACTCATGAAACATGACGTGGAGCTCCAGGACTTGGGGATTTCGGATGGGATTTTGGACGGGGATACCCTTTGGTAATTTGTCAAACATAGCTATTGAAAATGGCCATAGAAATCGTGGATTTTCCCATGAAACATGGTGGATCTTTCCATAGTTATGCTAAACGTTTACCAGAGGGTATCATGGATATGTAGGCTTTCCATTAAAATTTTACGGGCTACCCCCATAGAAATGGATTTTTCATTGTGGACCCGATCTGGAAATGGATGATTGTGGGGGTATCACCATGACTTAGGAACCTTCCCTTATATGGGGGATATAGTCTGGGGAATATAGACAAATATATCATCTAACCAACAATAATATGGGGATATAGCGGGATATAATGGGAATTTCATGGGCATATATAAATACATATAATGGATATGTATAATTATATATATATGGAAATAGCCAAGGCCCCCAAAACTGCACATTCCAAATTTTGGTGTATCAAAATTCCCAAGTTTTGCCCTTCAATGAGAGGACATGTACAACTATCTCAGGAGAACACGAAACAACTTACATATCATATGACTTGTATAGATGAGGGCGAAGCCAGCAACGATGGAGACAAATAGCGACAACAAAATGGGGTTCTGGGTCTTCAGAAGCTTCTTGTGCACCAACAAGTTTCAGGATTCATCCTGCCTTAAAGTGAGGATCCTGTGGGGTATTGGGGAATACACTCCTGCCAGCAAACGCAGCAAACACTTGGCGGAGTCTTGCAGAAGGCATTTCAAGAAATCCCAGCGATCGCATCCTCAGAATCCTCAGGTCAGAATTCGATCATCCCGTTTTTGGATTCAAAAGTTGGCTCAGATGCAGTACATTCTGCCAAAATTTCTGGGGTTTCTTTGCTATAAAAAGGGGAATCATGAATCGGTCGGGAGAACTTTACCCGGCAGATAGCAATGATACCAGCATTTAGGCAGTTCATGGCAGTTCTCCCAATATTGGCTGGTTGTATAAATTCACTTCTTGGCTGGCTATGTTATTCGGCAGTTGGCAGTTGAATCATGTTGAGTCCAACATGTTAATGAGCTGCTCGAATCATCCTCTATACAAGAATCTTACCCTCTGGTAATTTAACATAGCTATAGAAAATCACCATTTTTAATGGGAAAATCCACTATTTCTATGGCCATTTTCAATAGCTATGTTAGTTTACCAGAGGGTAAATAGGATTGCTGATGACTGATTAGTAGCTGGTGGAGTCCCGTATATCATAATATCTCTTAATTACTGATGAGTTAGTGATTAGTAACAATCTGTTAGTAGTGATTACTCATCAGTAATTACTGATTTACTAATTATAGTTAGTAACTATAGTAATTACTTTAGTTATTTTTCTGGTCAGTCAATCCATGTTAATCCTCTATATCTACATCAGATATCTATTGGTCCAACTGCGCGCCCAGGAGCTTCGGCAGCGCAGTCGGGCGGTGCCTCCAGAGGTGCATCAACTCCAGGAAGAGACGCTTGGGATGTCGAAGATGGAGGGTTGGCATCCCATCCGCCCCAATAAGCAGCCCCAACTTTCTATGGTCCCAATGGAATGTGGACATGTCCTACTAAACCATGGTTTCATTTGATGTTAAATACTAGGGGGGGATTCATCTGGGACATAAACATGGCAAAACCATCAAGGATGACTCTGGGACATATAGTTAATGAAGGTGGTTTAAAGCCACACTGTTGGTTGATTATGGCAAAAAATCTTGGGAAACTTGTTGGGAATCTGGAAAATCATGGGGAAACCTTTGTTTCAGAATTCTGGGGGATTTGTGGATTAGTGGCTGGGTCGGGGAAACTTCTGACCAGTAAAAACATGTAAAAACCCTGTTTGACCAGTTATTTCATAGGGATTTTACAATCATCTATAGGGATTTATAGGGATTTTAGCCGATATCATTGATGAAGGATGGTGCCTTAGAACTGAATACGCTTGGTTGATTCGCAGGGAGAATTTCTGACCAACCAACGCTAATGCGTGGAATGATCCACCAAAAATAAGCGTTGTTGAATGGATCATAGATGATGGCTGAGGATCATTGCACCGGAAAAAAATCCAGAAACTGGTGGTTTCGTGAAACTCAAAAGACGCAAATTGCAGCAAAAAAAACATCCAAACACTGTCTTAGAAGAAAAACAACCTGCCACACCTAAAACATCTAAAACCAAGTAAACTATAGTAAACTCTTAGCTAAACCATATCTAGAAAAACACCCTTTAAACCCTCAGATGTTCCACCTGTCTCCGTTGTTTCATGTTGTTTTGGTCCCCCAGGAACTCCGTGTTGGCCACCCGTGGCGCGAAGCTCTGCGGGGAGGCGGCGCAGCAGGCAGCGAAGCGGGGACAGCTGGAGGAGCAGCAGCAGCAGAAGATGGAGGAGGCAGGGGTCTGAATCTGGGTTTCCATATGGTTTCCATAGTCATGGGGGTACCCCTTAAAATGGATGGTTTATACATGTTTATTTCATGCAAAATCCGATGAACATATGGATGATTTGGGGGTAGCCCTATTTTTGGAAGCCACTAAATCTTGATGGATTTTGGTGATCAAACATTGTTGGATTATTTCGTGATCAACATGTTTTTTCGGAGATTTGGGTTGTTAAAGTTTCGACATGATTCGACCAACGTATTTTGGATCGGGTTTGATGGACGTTAAACAGTTTTGCTGGATTTCTATCGATGTCCCATGTCCCAATTGTTTCCAAGTTTTTCTTGGTTTTTCTCATTTTTTCCCAGTTTCTCGTGGTTGTTCCCACATTTTCCTGGTGTTTTCGTGGGTTTCCCCCATTTCCCAAGTGAACTCGCCACTTCTCAGGTCCAAGGCCTGAGGGCGCAGCGCGGCCAGGTAGCGGAGCAGCTGGAGGCGGCGGAAGGCCGCGAGGCGGCCGCCAGGAGGAGCCAGGAGCGCCTGGGATTTTCGTCGATGCCGGAGATCTCACCATGGTTTTTTCCGCCATGGTTGACATATGAATACCTGGAAAAATTTTATGGATGATGTTTGATGATTTTTCCATGAAGGTTTTATAAAATTTACGATCACCCACTATAAAATGGAGGCTTAATGGGATAATATTGGATAATCCACTATAAAATAGAGGTTTACAGCCGGGGACATCTACTATAAATGGAGGTTTATAGCTGGGAATATCCACAAGAAATGGGTGATTCTAGTAGTAAACAATGTTAACCATAAGAAACATGAATACCCTGTAATTTTGACTTTTTGGGGCAGTAAAAGAAATGGTGACTCAACCATAAGAAATATGAATGTTTGGATGAAATGGCCAAACATTATGTGTTGATCATGCGAAAGATTCAGAATTTGGGAATGAACCAACACATTAGATTCTTACCAGCAATTTTGGGTTTTTGCATGCAAAATGTGGGATTAAGTAGCCAACATGCGTGTTGAAGCAACAGTATTTGGGGTCTAAGCAGCAAACATGATTAGAGCTTCGGAATCAGCATCCGTTGGATTTCTTGGAAGTGAGAAAAGGATGTTTTTGGTGTTCCATAGTCATGGGGGTACCCAAATTTCTGGATGGTTTATGATGGAAAATCCCATCTAGAAATGGAATGAAATGGATGATTTAGGGGTAGCCCCCATGACTTAGGAAACCCCCATGTGGACATGTGACCATTTCGAGCAAATCATCCCACTGAGTGCAGGGCAACCCAACCCTGGTCTGTGGCGCAAATAGTCCAGCAATAATATGCACCATGGCCACCATAGCTCTTCCCACATATGTATATATAATTATATATATATATAATATTAAACTATGTATTGAAATATATATATATATGTATTATACATATATTATTGTCTATTATATATATATCTATATCTATATATATATATATATACATGATTCGTGGGATGATCACCTGCGGCCAGTAATTTGGATCGCCTTTTCCCAAGGTCCGCGCTCAAAGCCCTGGATCTGGAAAGGTGGCGTAGTCAGGCGCCGTGGGTTGAATCCCCCAAGCGCGATCCTTAAATGATCCAAGGGGATGTTTGAGGATTCGTTATTTTAAGGGTCATATTTTTCCCCATTATCCCCATCATAATTGTGTATATCCCATAGTATTATCTATGTATGGGATAAATCCCCATAATTATTTACCCTCTGGTAATTGAAGCCATAAATGATACCTGACAATGACTGTTGATGAAAATGGTGATTGTTATGATGATATAAGTGATATTATGATGATATATGGGGATATACCCTCTGGTAAATTAACATAACTATGGAAAATCACCATTTTCAATGGGTAAATCCACGAACTAAATGGCAATTTTCAATAGCTATGTTGAATTACCAGAGGGTAACTGGTGGTTGATAATTGGGTGTAAAAAATGTTTGTAAAAATGGTGAATCATTCCCAAGAGTATCCCAATGATGGTTTAACAGGGATTTGGCAAATTTGGTGGTTGATAATTGGTTGACTGCTGAGAGTTAAGTTTTAGGTATGGGCGCCTCTAAGAGGCCGTGCGTTTTTGAGGTTTTTGGGGTGGGGTGGGGTGGGGTGGGGTGTGATAACGTTCATATCTCTTGCGTGCAAGGTGATGCGACGTGGATGCTACGTTGATGTTACGTTGATCATACTGTGATGCTACGTTGAGGAGCCGTTGAGGCTACTGTTGATACGTTGATGTTACTTTGATCATGCCCCGTTGCTACGTTGATGTTATGTTGATTATATGTTGATGTTACGTTTTAATACGTTGATGTTACATTGATGATGGTGTGGGGTTCGGGTTTGGGTATAGAGGTGTCCTACCAGGTAGTTGTTTGTGATATACAAGTATTTTGTTCAACATTATGTCAGAAATTGATGATGGACTTCAAGTTAAAAATATGCTACGCTGCAGATGGTTATAATATATAGTATTTTGTTCAACATCATGTAAGAAGTTGGTGATGGACTACAAGTTATATATATTATACGCTGCATATGGTTATAATATATAGTATTTTGTTCAACATCATGTCAGAAATTGATGATGGACTTCAAGTTATATATATATATTATACGCTGCACATGGTTATATATATATATATTATTTTGTTATAATATATATATATATTATTATTTTGTTATTAGACAGACATCATGAAATGTGTCTGGGTTTTTCTGTGGCGAAGAAATTGCCACAACGACATGTACAAATGTCTAGGAGACCTTTGCCGCAAAAGCGGCTGAAACAAAGAGAAGAAAAAGCGTACAGCTGCCTTTTCCAACATGTAGCTTTCGTCCCACAAAAACCAGTGAAATCACACCGAGACCTTCATTTTTCCATACCCTTCCATGACTTTTGACACACCCACAATATATAAATATCTGTGAAAAACCGCTCTCGTTGTGGCGAAACCTTGAAACATCATTGAAGAGAAATATATCCATGTGCAAAAACGCACGGCCTCTTAGAGGCGCCCCCACCAAGTTTTACTATCCAAGATATTGGGGATTATCATGAATTTGAACTGGGAATCCCATTCTTGACCAAGCAGTATTGTAGAATGGAATGACAGAAGGGGTTGGACGATGCTCAAGTCACTTATTGGTTGTTCGATTTGAGGTATACCCTAAGAAGCATACACTATGTTGGTAAATGTATGTTACATAGCTGTGAACCAACAGCATTCATTTGCAGATGACCATGCTCCAAATTCAAAAGAAACTGCGTACCGATACCAGGGATTCCAGTGGGTTTTAACCTCTTTACATCGCAGATCATCGCAGTATTTAAAAGATCATCTGTCCTGGATCGAACAGAGTTTTGACTCTTCAAATCCGGTTGAATCCCTTTCAGAATTCACCAGTTTTTGCCAGTGGCCTTGCCGGTTTCATCCAGTTGAATCCTAAGTTGGCTGGGTGAACTCCCCATCTTTGGCTCCCCACTTTGTTGCTGTTTGGCACCTCCAGCGGCTCCGGCGGCTCCACCGCGGGGCACGTTTCGGCGGCTCCAGGACTTGGTGCGGTCCCTGACGTCGGCCCTGCAGCAGCGGCAGCTCAGCAGCGAGGAGGCGGAGAAGAGGGCGCTGCAGGCGGAGCGCGAGGCCTTGCGGAAGGGCGGAAGTGGCTGGAAGGGCTGGATTTCACCTTGGTGACCTTGGATGAGGTAGATTGTAGCCCCATTTTTGGAAGCCAACATGGTGGGTTCAACGGTTCAACATGGATTTTACATGATTTTACAGCGTGGAACCGGCAGAAACAGTGATTTCAGCAACAGGGGAATAGAAGTTGTGGTTCCAGCAAGAAGAAATGGGTTTCAAGCGACAACACCAAGGATTTCAGCACCAAAGACTCGAGATTACACCACCCCAAATAAGCGTTTAAGCCAAAAACATGGAGGCTTGAAAAGATGGTGGTCTCAAAATGTCAACCCCTCTTCCATCCCACGGTTTGTTGCCAATTTCGCTGGAGGCCACTTCGCTCGAAGCAAGCTGCGCGGGGCCTGCCGATGTCCAGCAAGCTGAAAGCGTGGCGGAGAAGGAGAGCCTGCGCAGGTGCGCTATGGTCTTAGCCAAGGTGATTGAGCCCCCTGGTGGATGGTGATCAGTACCGGTAGCACCTGTAGGGATAAATTTGAATTTGGCCAAAGATGGTTTCAGGCCAACCATGGTTTCAGCATGTTTCAGCATGTTTCAGCGAGTTTGAAAACAAAAACATGGGATTCAATTTCTAGATGATTTAACTAACACAACAAACGGGTTGAAGCTACCCAAAAGTAAGCGACAAATGATGGTGGGGTTTTGGGTTGGGGTTGCAAACCGAGTATTCGAGCCGTTGAAAATGCCGGTCGGCCGTCAGTACATCTGTGGTTCCCAGGGCTTCCAATTTTCGCCCATTGGAAGGATTTTTCGAAGGTCGATGTGACCTGCTTGGCCGGGACAGCTGGAAAGCCATCATTGTCGGTTCTGAAACACCCAGCGGAACCGGTCCGACACGTGGGACGTGCATGAGTGAAACAAGGCATCTACTGGCAAGGGCAAGAAAACAATCTTCCAAAGTACCATTTCCAGTCATTTCCAGCCATTTCCAGCCATTTGCAAGATAGAAGAATGAATGAAACAGGATAAAATAGGCAATCTTCATGCCACTAGGATAAAACATCAAGGACTGCAGGCCCTGTGTTCCAACCTCGAGGCAGCAGCTGGTGCAGCAGCTGGAGCTGGAACTGGAAGAGGCGCAGCGTCAGAGAGGTGAACATGCAGAGGAGGGGCGAGGAGGGCTGGGATGGCAAAATCTCGAAAGTCAATTGGGGGTATATGGGTATGAATCAATACCTATTAATACCATTTTTAGGGGGATGAACATCCATTTGCCAGCTATTTTGATGTTCACCAGGGGTACAAGGTTTTGACACACTGCCATATGATTATGTGACTATAACCACCAAATCTGTTCAATCATGGGTACATACGTATAAGATACTATAAGTTCATAGATTATCAACGGACTGGTTTGAAAAGCCAGCAACGGGTTGAAACATGGGCCCGAAACCCAGCCAGATCGCTGATTCGTAAGTGACGCTTGCGGCCTTAGTTCGCTCTAGTCTCCCAGGTAAAGAAAGGAAGAGTCGGCCTGCAGGGGCAATGGATGGGCACGTTTACAGTATCCTCATCTTGGGTCATTATCTGGATTCCAAACATATATATATATACACATATATATACATATATATATATATATACATATATATATACACATACAATTGATATAGGCATATAGGTGAGGATTGCTGAAAATGATTACTCCTCCAAACTGGATGGTGTAATAGATATCTTCACAATTCTTCTCATATGATTCAACATAATCAATCCAACCCCCGCGAAATGGCCGATATATATATATATACATACACAATGTATATATGTATACATACATACATAATGTATATATATACACATAATGTATATATATATATGCACATAATGTATATATATATATAGTTAGTTTATTAGATGCTACTATTATAGATTGAAAAAACAAGACCCAGCATGTTTTCCGAGTTTGAAAGATCAATGATATTCCCATCAAAATCATGACATCTCCATGGTGTTCCAACTTTTCATGGTAGATCCCCAGCAGGAGCAGCAGCGGCGGCAGCGACAGAACCAGGCTGCGGTGCAGCAGCAAAGGACGCTGCAACGGCTGGCACAGGTGTGGGGTGGAGAATCAATTGATAAGATGTATTGTATAATATATATATACCCTCTGGTAAACTAACATAGCTATTGAAAATGGCCATTTGTAGTGAGTTTTCCCATTGAAAATGGTGATTTTCCATAGTTATGTTAAATTACCAGAGGGTATATATTATAGATAGAGGCATAAATATATAATTTCTTGTGGTGAACAAACCACATTATATATGCGAATATAAACCCATGCATCACTTCAATTATGGTAAATAAACTACCCATAATTGTTATTTTTTCAAGTATATTATCCCATCACTTATCATGCTTAATAAGTTGTTAATATCATTCAATATACAATTATTGGAGAATGTGAGAATCACTAAATCCCGTCAGCCCACATAAATGCAACTTGCAAGTTTTGCCTCCACCGACCCGTCTAATTGCAATTCACTTTTTTTGAACCCTCCTGCGTGCTAAACGGGTACTGTAGGCATGATATTCTTACCTAATTTTCACGTCAAGTTGTTTATCTACATATGGTTTCATTCTTTGGGAGAATACTATAATATAATATGTATATACATATATATATATATATACATATATATATATACATATATATATACATATATATATATATATACACATCACATTCCCATTTAACATCCGAGCGAATGATATACCCCATACACAACACCACCCAAAACACGCAAGAACAAATGCCGTCCAGTCCTAACTTTTCGGTCTTGATTGTGAGACCTCAGACCTTTCCGAAACTGTTCTGGTGGTTACTATAAGGGTTGCCCCCATGGTTTGTAGGGGGTGTTCAATATTAGGGGAAGGGATATATTAGATTGGTTGTTCATCAGGATTCAATTTTAGGGTATATATTTTAATTGTAGTTAATTTTCATATAGGGATTATTTACATGTATATAGATATTTGTATACATATGTCTACATAATTCTACATGTACATATAAATATATATATATGTATGTATATATCTAAAGCTATATATATATAGATACATATCATATCATTATGCATCTATTTAAATGGAAAAGTTGGTTGTTCATATCCCAAAGGCATCTCCGCCAGGCGCGCCTTGAGGCGCGAGGGTTGGAAGAGGCGGCGCAGACCTTGGCCAAAGAGCTGGCGGAGAGTGAGCAGATGCTCGGTGCTCATTCAGCCAATGGCTATAATTCTCGTGGAGTTTTAGGGAAAAACAGGGCCATTTTAGGGAAAAATCTGGTGGATAAACTGGATGACAAATGGCCATCAAGTCGGAGATGATGGGAATTGATGGGATCAAATCGTTTTTTACATGTCTTACATTTTTTGTGCCTGGAGTTGTTTGTGATTGTAAAACATGGTTGAATATTGATGATTTAAACAACCCATTCTTTTGCATTCTTGGGGATTTATAGCAGGGACGTGGATGTTTTGGTCGGATCACATGGTTTCGGAACGTGAAGAGTTGTGAAAAAAGGGTTGTTAAGGTGTAATCCGTAGGCAATTGCAAACTTCGCGATGGCACTTTGTGTGATGTTTGTTCCTGATACCTTTTTCCGGTTTATTCGCTTTCCATGCTTTGGTGATGATTTCAATATACCCTCTGGTAAACTAACATAGCTATTGAAAATGGCCATTTATAGTGGATTTTCCCATTGAAAATGGTGATTTTCCATAGTTATGTTAGTTTACCAGATGGTAATTCCGGAGTTCCAGATAACAAGGCAACAACCATTGTTATATAATGTTAATATAACCATGATTAATCCATGTAAACATCTCCAACACACATTTTTGAACAATTTATCTACAATAATTATCTATGAACATCACAATTACCGGCTGGTAATTTAACGGTTTGGCATTAAACATGGTGATTGTTCCACAGCAAACTGTTAAATTACTCGTGGTTATCCAATCCACACCCATGCTGTATCCAAACGTGGCAATGGAGAATCCTGAAATTCAGTTCGATGATTTTCACATTTAAACATCCATTTATATTAGTAAGAGATTTCCAATTGCCACGTTTGATTACCAGAGTGTACATCCAATAGGAATTAATACATATTAATACTATATCTGGTTGGTGGTTTGGAACATGAATTTTATTTTTCCCAATGTCATAATCCCAAATCCCAACTGACGAAGTCATATTTTTCAGAGGGGTGGCTCAACCACCAATACTATATGATTACATATATTGATGTTTGTATTGTTTTGTATATATACACTATTTGTATATTGATGTTTATCTATATTTTTAGTATTACATATATCATAGAATTGGATGATGGGAAAATTTTAACCGGAAAGCCCCATCAATTTGATGGTAAAAACCCATGGGTTTCCTGTAAATTGTCCCTTAAACCAATCCAGTGATATATGATATTAATTCGATATATTCGATATTATATGAGTGTGTTAAATTATCAGAAGACTTTACTGTAGTCAACAAAACCAACTTTACGTATATTTTTAGTATTACATATATGGAAACCAACAATATCAATGGGAATTTCAGGATCCTGAAATGGTAGGTACCTCCAATCTAGGATCCTGAAATGGCCATTGACAATACTATGTTTCCAAAGCTGCTGCGTCTCGTCCTGTGCCTCCAGGAAGTCTGAGGAGAGCGACCGCAAGGCCATGGCTGTGGCGAAGGAACTCACAGAGAGCCTCGCCTCGGCAATTGTTTTGTGATGTGATCGTGGCTTTGTGGGGACATAGCCTTAAAAAAATGATAGGAACAAATACAACTTAAATGTGGATTTTATATGATTTTATGGGAAAGTCAGGGGTTTTTGATGGGAAATCCTTGAAGTAAATGGTGATTGAACCATCAAACATGGTGGTGCAATGGAGATACAATGGGATATCATGAGGATTTACAACGGGTATGATGGATATCAAAGATGGCTGGTTGGGAAATCCCCGAACTAAACAGAGGGAAAATCATCGAACCACATTGAGGAATTCTCCAGCCATGTTTGAAAACACAAGAGGGTGTAATAATTTTCACCAACAAAAAGACCATTCAGAAAGGCTTTGATTTAATTTTCACTACTTTATTAGTTTCAAAATGATTTTACTTTTGCCTCGTTGTTTGGGGTTGCTATAACTTTAACTAACATGGATGAATGGGGGTAAATTTGAGCCAGTGTGTGTGGGATTCCACCCAGGTTACCACTACAGGACTGGATTTGGGGATATCCTACTTTTGAACAAAGCAAATTAAGCGTTCACCAACTACACACGATGGAGTTTCAACATATTTGTTAGAACGTATGATTGATCATATTTTCCAAAATTTGGCAACTTTATGGGAGGTTGTATACATTTCATTTTTGTTTACCAACAAATCATGCAGAGGTTGAACATACTTAATTTCAACGTCAACGACTTAGATGGAGGAGGGATTCAACTGATTCAACCCGTAAGTTTCTGGGGAGATAATTAACACAAGGTGGGAATGTTATCTACAAGAACCCCGTTGCTTGGTTCACCTGACACCTACAGTGACAGTTGTGTTGGGTTGCTGGTTGGAACCAGCCATGGTCAGGGATCCAAGATTTATATCTTGCGGTTTGCTGAATGTTGGTTGCCAGTTGCCCCGTGTGGTTCGTATGCTGAAAACACATTTTTGATAGGAAGAGTCTGATGCATCAGTGAAGACTCTATATTAGCTCTATCTGATGGAGAGCCACTCATGTTGTGAATCCGATTCTCTTTCGCCTTGCATAAAGAGAGAAGGATTTGATGTAACAGCTCTTGCTGAGCTCTAGCTTGTGCGGTCCTCTTTGTTGCCAGTTGCCCCGTGTGGTTCGTATGATGAAAGATCATTTTTGATAGGAAGAGTCTGATGCATTAGTGAAGACTCTGTATTAGCTCTATCTGATGGAGAGCCACTCATGTTGTGAATCCGATTCTCTTTCGCCTTGCATAAAGAGAGAAGGATTTGATGTAACAGCTCTTGCTGAGCTCTAGCTTGTGCGGTCCTCTTTGTTGCCAGTTGCCCGGTGTGGTTCGCATGATGAAAGGTCATTTTTGATAGGAAGAGTCTGATGCATCAGTGAAGACTCTGTATTAGCTCTATCTGATGGAGAGCCACTCATGTTGTGAATCCGATTCTCTTTCGCCTTGCATAAAGAGAGAAGGATTTGATGTAACAGCTCTTGCTGAGCTCTAGCTTGTGCGGTCCTCTTTGTTGCCAGTTGCCCGGTGTGGTTCGTATGATGAAAGCACATTTTTGATAGGAGAAGTCTGATGCATTAGTGAAGACTCTGTATTAGCTCTATCTGATGGAGAGCCACTCATGTTGTGAATCCGATTCTCTTTCGTCTTGCATAAAGAGAGAAGGATTTGATGTAACAACTCTTGCTGAGCTCTAGTTTGTGCGGCAATTATTGCCAGTTGCCCCGTGTGGTTCGCATGATGAAAGCACATTTTTGATAGGAAGAGTCTGATGCATCAGTGAAGACTCTGTATTAGCTCTATCTGATGGAGAACCACTCATGTTGAGGACATTTTGGGCTTCTGTTTGGAATCTAGAAATATCAGGAGCCATGCCATGTCAGCAAGTGGCTGCTGCTACAACATGCCTGTATGGCAGCCAGCCACGTTAAGTTTGCAACACTTGAATCTGCTGTCCCTGCGGGTCCCCAATTTTCAGCCACAACCTGCTGTCCTTTGTTAGTAAGTCGTGTAGTCTAGTCTCTGATGCTGAAGTAAACACATGCATGTTTGGTCGTTGCAACTCAATTTCGAATTTATACATATATATATAATATTATAATATATATATATATATCCCCGAATTTCCAAACCATTTGCCTTCGAATTCACCAAGCTTTTCTCATCATTTATTAGCCATAAGAAACCCCAGGACATCGAAGCACGTGGCCATGCTGCGCGCAGAGTTCAGCAGCGGAACCCTGCAGCGGAAAGAGCTGGACGCGGCGCGGAAGGACGTGACATGACGTGACCGAAGGCTGTGGAAAAGGGATACACCAAGAATGGCTATGTAATGACTATGTAATGACTATGTAATGGTTATGTAATGGCTATTCTTATTGGTCAGTGTGGAGTCTTCATGGTCTTCCCCTTTTTTTGGTGCAAAACCAAAAGAATTGAACAGAATTTGCCTTAATATGGCCATTGTATCCTCACCATAATCCCCCTCATTGAACCATTCCCCCATATGATCCGGGTGTGGACCATTTATCAACACTTATCCCAAGCATGATCTAAATGTATCTAAATGTACATTGGTCAATGTACGAATATCCCCATTTATATGTATAATATATGTATAATTATGTATAATTATGTATATATATATATCTAACTGGGTAAATTATAACGACCTCACTGCGACCTCACTGGAAATCATGGTTAGTAAGGGAAATCATCCCCAAATGGCCCAACAATTCAGGTTATATAGTGAAATATTATAATTTACCCAGATGTATATATATATAATATATATATAATATATATAATATATATATATAATATAATATATAATATATAATATATAATATATATATATAATATATATATATCCCATGATGTCCCCATTGGCTGCAGTTAAAAACCCCTGAGTTTTATGTCCCCTGGTACTACCAGGAAGCTGGGGCCTTGCAACAGCGCTTTAGCGCTGTCGGAGCTCATGAGAGGCGGAGATGTTGGGAAGATGTGGTAGGACTTTCGACCTAGGAAAATATGGAAAAATTAGGGATTTTTTGAATTTCAGGCAGCAAACATGTGGATTTATATGGATTTATTTATATCACCAACTTAAAATGTGTGATTAAACTGATTAAACCATCAAAGATGGCTTAACCAACAAGAATGTGGATTTAGCAAGCGCAAATTGTGATGTAGCCAAAAAGAACAATGGGAATCTTCACCAAGCGATTTTTTTTTCGGATTTTGCAGCAACCGGCACAAAAAACAAGATTTAAGCAAGCAATTTGTGCTTCAACCAACAAAATTTTGTGGATTTCAACCCGATTGGACCAACAAGAGATGGGGTGGAACCCCAAGCAAAACATGGGGTCATGAACCAAGACAATGGAATCGAACATATGGTTTTGTAACTGGGTATCAGTATTACTGACGACATTGATAATCAAGATACTGTACCTGATGATAAAGTTGTGATACTACAGCAATATTTTGCTGCAAAAAATGAATTTCGGAATGTCAAAGACCAAGATGCTATGGTCAATGACAAGACCCAAGATGATGCCCCACAAAATATCATCCAATCGTAGCAGGTCCGTGTTTGTTTTACTACTCCTGTACAAATTCTTCACCAGTGAGCAAAGTTCTTGCCTCAAACGCTGAAATTTATCCTCATGGGCATCCTAAAGATTGAAAGATTATTCTTTGAAACGATTTTCCAGCGTGTAGCTGCACATGAATATGGGTATGGGTCAATACCTATAGATACATTTTTAGTGGGATGAACATCCATTTACCAGCTATTTTGATGTTCACCAGGGGTACAAGGTTTTGACACACTGCCATATCATGAATGGCAAATTAAACAATAATCCAATGGCACATGGCAATATCCAATGCCAAAATCAGCCAGGCTCCCTGGCTGGAAACCTGCTCCGCTGCCCTGAAGAGGTCTCCGCTGGAGGAGGAGCGCGCACTCAAGGAGGCGCTCCGCAGTGCCTGGGAGAACGAGGCCTTGGAGCGTACGCAGACGGAGGAGAAGCTGCACCTTGGCGAGTTCGCCCTGGAGATGGGATCCCTGAGAAAATCTGAGAAATCCATGGGAATCCCACGGAAAATCCCACGGATCCCATGGGACATCCCCAAAACCCATGGGAAATGCCGTGAAATCCCAGGGTTTTCATGGAAAAATGCTGTTTTTATTGGGGGAAAGTATGTGGGAAGATGGATCTACGTAGGTATTTTCGTGCCATTGGGATGGGCTTCTTCTAGTCCTGATCTGTACAGTATCACACGACATATCATGGTTATCTAGAGAATGAATATTTAGACAACGAATATGACTGATAAATATCATGAATAACGATACCATTTTATACCATGTTTCATTATATATAATTATATAGATATACTGTATATATATGGATATATATATGGATATATATATATATGGATATATATATATATATATGGATATATATATGGATATATATATATATGGATATATATATATGGATATATATATATATGGATATATATATATACATATATGGATATATATATATATGGATATATATATGGATATATATATATATGGATATATATATATATGGATATATATATAATGAATATCTATAAGGATTATCCTTTGGATTTTCTGATGATATCCCGAGTCGTCTCCGAGTCGTCTCCGAGTCGTCTCAGGCATCGTGCGGAGGTCTTCTGGCAGCGCTTGCAGGAGCAGCTGCAGTCCCTCACCTCCTTCGCGCATCGCTGCAGGTCCTGGGGTGTCCCCACATTCCCCAGGGTCCCCAAAATCCCAGGTGTGACCACAATTTGGGGGGGAATCAGGAGTCCATCCCTATACCCTCTGGTAATTTAACATAGCTATTGAAAATGACCATTTATAGTGGATTTTCCCATTAAAAATGATGATTTTTCATAGCTACGTTAAATTAATTACCAGAGGGTAATTTTTTCGGATCTGTGGAATTATGGTACAAATATATAATAGCAATTACAGGGGTTCATCCATGTATCTGGAGTTTTGTTGTACAATACTTTGCCTTGATTGGAATCCAGTATGGAAATACCCGTTTTGAAGATCTGTGAATCAAGCAACAGTAAATACCAACACTACGCAAGTATTTTCGGCATGACTGACTTGATTAGGTAGGAGAGTGACCAGAACTGAGAAAGTAAAGACCTGTTGGAGCCGAAAATATTTGGTGACTGGTTGTTCCCTTTGACTTTGACTCTTTGTTTCAGCCAGTCCTTTTGTTCAATTAGCTCGATTCTCGGAAATCGGTTGCAAGAAAATTCTAGAGGATCTCCTCCGAAAAATGGATGGTCAATGGAAACTATTACCAACAAATCTTGCATTCCCTTCTAAATTTAACCAGTTGCCCTTTGTACACCTCATCTGGCCATGGACCACATCCACATTGGACTTGGAGTTGCTGAAGGTGGTTCCTAGACTTCTGAGCTCGTGGAAAGCAAGAAAGCACCTTTCAACAAGCAAATCATGGAGGATTTCCCTGGATATCAATTTCCCATTATCTAGATTACACCACCGTAGACTACAGTGGGTGGAGTCAAGAAGTGTTTTGAGGAACAGGGTCAAACACATGAAATAGCAGCGACAGGAATCGTGAAAATGTTTGCAATAAGTGCCGGAGACCACTTCACATTCAGTTTTTTCGCTTCGCTTGCTTTGTCGCAACGCTAGATGCCGAAAAACGATGAAGGAAACATCCGATGGAGGTGCAAGAGTATTTGGATCCAAACGCTCGAATCAAGCAGCATAGGAGTGTCAAATTGGATGTAATGAAAACATCGGAGGATGAAAGTGAAAGATGACATCATTCTCAACCCCCGAGCCCACAGCTTCCAAGCGGGCGAGCAAAATGGGACCACTCGCCACAAAGGGAAACAAAAAGAGACACAAGCTGGGCGACAAGCAGGGAAGCAAGGGAGACAAGGCCTTGGGAAGAAGGACACACCATCCAACAAAGGGAGACAAGAAGGGAGAGAAACTGGGAGACAAGGGGGAAGGCGGACACACCATCCAACAAAGGGAAACAAGAAGGAATTCAAGCTGGGAGACAAGAGGGGAGACAAGATGGGAGACAAGCTGGAGACAAGGGAGACAAGGCCTTGGGAAGGCGGACACACCATCCAACAAAGGGAGACAAGAAGGGAGAGAAACTGGGAGACAAGGGGGAAGGCGGACACACCATCCAACAAAGGGAAACAAGAAGGAATTCAAGCTGGGAGACAAGAGGGGAGACAAGATGGGAGACAAGCTGGAGACAAGGGAGACAAGGCCTTGGGAAGGCGGACACACCATCCAACAAAGGGAGACAAGAAGGGAGAGAAACTGGGAGACAAGGGGGAAGGCGGACACACCATCCAACAAAGGGAAACAAGAAGGAATTCAAGCTGGGAGACAAGAGGGGAGACAAGATGGGAGACAAGCTGGAGACAAGGGAGACAAGGCCTTGGGAAGGCGGACACACCATCCAACAAAGGGAGACAAGAAGGGAGAGAAACTGGGAGACAAGGGGGAAGGCGGACACACCATCCAACAAAGGGAAACAAGAAGGAATTCAAGCTGGGAGACAAGAGGGGAGACAAGATGGGAGACAAGCTGGAGACAAGGGAGACAAGGCCTTGGGAAGGCGGACACACCATCCAACAAAGGGAGACAAGAAGGGAGAGAAACTGGGAGACAAGGGGGAAGGCGGACACACCATCCAACAAAGGGAAACAAGAAGGAATTCAAGCTGGGAGACAAGAGGGGAGACAAGATGGGAGACAAGCTGGAGACAAGGGAGACAAGGCCTTGGGAAGGCGGACACACCATCCAACAAAGGGAGACAAGAAGGGAGAGAAACTGGGAGACAAGGGGGAAGGCGGACACACCATCCAACAAAGGGAAACAAGAAGGAATTCAAGCTGGGAGACAAGAGGGGAGACAAGATGGGAGACAAGCTGGAGACAAGGGAGACAAGGCCTTGGGAAGGCGGACACACCATCCAACAAAGGGAGACAAGAAGGCAAGACGCTTTGGAAGGCGGACACGCCATCCAACCAAGGCAAGAAGGGGTACAATGGGAGACGCAGGGAGACAAAGAGAGACAAGACCTTCGGGAAGGCGGACCCACCATCCAACAAAGGGAACAAGAAAGGGTACAATGGGAGACAAAGGGAGACAAGACCCTCGCCAAGGCGGACACACCATCCAACTAAGGGAAACAAAAAGGGGTACAATGGGAGACAAACATCAAAGGGAAACAAGAAGGGGTACAATGGGAGACACGGGGAGACAAGGCCCTCAGCAAGGCGGACACACCATCTAACAAAGGGAAACAAGAAGCGGCACAGTGGGAGACAAAGGGAGCCAAGACCCTCGGGAAGGCGGACACACCATCCAGCAAAAGGAAACAAGAAGGGGTACAATGGGAGACACGGGGAGACAGGACCCTCGGGAAGGCGGACACACCATCCAGGAACAACAAAGGGAAACAAGAAGGGGTACAATGGGAGACAAAGGAGACAAGACCCTCTCCTAAGGCGGACACGCCATCCAACAAAGGGAAACAAGAAGCGGTATAATGGGAGACAAAAGGAGACAAGACCCTCGGGAAGGCGGACTTGCATCCAACACCAAGGTGGACACCTTAAGAAAGCATTAAGAACCCCTAACGGTACACTGTTTGGGGAAAATGGATGTCCAATCCCTAGCATTGGTTTGTTTGGAAATAGGGTACCACTGAATTTGATTGTTGATGATCATTTCCCATTGTTTCTCCGTCTGAGGGTATGTATCCCAATTCATACACCCAAATCTCATACGTTGAGCATTTGTTTGTTATATCCCATGATGGCAGATTCAATAGCCTCACTATAGACCGGTTGCAACACCCGTTACATCCCATTTTCCTATTGAACATATCACCTTGAATATACCCATGGACGATTTCCCTTTGTACTTCCCATCATCTAAACATCGATGTCCTCTCCCCCATATTATTGGTTATACAATATATATATATGTATATATTTATATCTACTTATCTATCTCCCAGAAGATCTCCCATAATATATTCCCATTCTCTTGCTTATATCCGCATTATAATTTTTGAAATTTGAATTTAACACCAATAAAAGGAACAACATCATATGACTGTCCACAGAACGTCACATATCTAGACAAAAACGGATGACTTCACATCTTCCCATTACCAATTTCCCATTGAATCTTGGGATTTTCCTAGGCATGATTTGCTGGGAAGCGGCCTGCCGGTGCTTCCGCCACTCACCTGGGATGCTGCAGGGACCGCAGGCTCACAAAACCATCCCCAAATGGCTGAACTTTTCAGACCTTTCAGGAGGTTGGGTGAATTTTGGATATATGTGTTTCTAGAAAAACTGGGGGTTAGAACCCCGAAACTTACTTTTGGAATGAGGAAAATGATGATCAACCATTCTAAACCCTGACATTTTGAGGTGCCCAAATTTCAAACAAACCCAAAATGGTGTGAATGTAGTACATGTTTGTCATTGTTGTGTCTTGAAAAATTCGATACCACTCCAAATTTCCAGCTTATTTCAAATTCTCCATGATATTCCTCCTCAACATGAAATGGGGGTTTAGGAGTTTAGGGGTTCAGGCACCCTTGGAGGTACCTCCCTTGGCACTCCTGGCAGGTTCCCTCAAGGCCTTGGTGGACTTCTTCGAGTCCATGGCAAAGCTGCGGATGCACACAGAGGTGCCGCTGGGGGGAAGGGAGACATGTCCCAAATGGTAGGGTGTTTGTGTTGCCTTGTTTTGTCTTCAGACAAACCCATGTAGTACATATAGTGGGTAAGTTATCCATAAATATCCATGATGATTGTTATTTCCGCAAAAACATTTGATTTAAAACAAAAAAACACATATTCACTGGTGGTTTCGGACATTTTGATTTCCCTCCAAAACAATTTGCCCAAGAACTTAATTGACTGTCATATTAGGCTGAAACCACCAGGCATGGATGGAACAAACATGGGATGTTTGGACGATTGGGATCCCCCTGGAACCTACCAGTTTGTTCCTTCAGATTTTTTGTTTTGTCCTTTGGTCCTGGGGGCTCACGTTTAACCGAGCCATGGCATGAAAAGAATGGTTTCCAGAATTGAAGGTAAAATTTGCAGGAAACCTTTATATTTACTTTGATTTGACATATTTGACTTTAATTTACTTGGAATATCCCTGAATATCCCCCAAGATGTTCATGTTTTCCTGTAAATTTGCCCTCTTGCAGCATTTCCTCGCCGATGTTTCGCCAGAGGCCAATGGGCCCCGCGTGCCATCGCTGCGCTTCGGCAGTGAATAGGGAATTATCATCTATAAATGGGCCATGTTCTATAGCTATAGATAGCTATAGTAAATTACCATAAATTACCAGAGGATAGAGGGTAGAACATGTTTTTTCAGAACCTTTGAAAGTAAGTTTGGTATTTGGATATGAATTTGACATACTTGTTTTGAAGATTATTTTGGACCCTTGGTGACTGGTCTGCTTTCCTTTGGAATCGACCTTGGCGCTTGGCTGGGCTCAGGGAACAGAACGGAGGCTTGGCTGGGCGAATTCTAGTGGCCCGATCCGCAAAGAGACCAAGGACAAATTTCATGTGTTGTTTCCAGTTATCTCATTTTATCCAATTGGTCTCATTCAATCTCATTTCATCTCATTTAAGTCATGTTATCCGATGTTATTTCATTTCATCACATCTCATTTTGTTCCATCCCCTTTTATCCAATGTTTAGCTAATTTTATCTCATTTCATCTCATTTTATCCCATTTTATCTCATTCAATCTATATAATTTCATATAATTTCATCTCATTGTATCCCTGTTGATATCTCATTTTATCTCAGTTCATCTCATTTGGTCTTTTAATCTCATGGTTTGTGATTTTACTGAAGGAATTTGACTAGAACCTGTCAAACCCCCGTGTTTGAATGTTGGGGCAGTCTTGGGTTGCGATTAAAACGGGCGGTTTCAGGTCTGCATCCCCTGCTCGCAGCCAGCCATGGAGATGAAGGTGGGGTGCCGTGAAGGCTACTTCTATGGCACCTCCCCAAAAAAAGAACAGCCTAGGGGCTTACTAATCCAGTGTTGACATCGCCCATGATGATGGTGGTGGTGCTGATGATGATGATGATGAAAACGATGATAACACTCATAATCATACTAATGTTTTCAAGTAACCTAACTTTAGTACTTTTTCACACTTTGAATTCCAAATTGACAAATATTGACAAAAGTCGCCCCTCCCGTAGTTTTTTTTGGCTCAGCCGCGGGAACCGCGGTGTCACTGAGCAATGACGGGATCCTCGGCCGTGTGTGCGGTGACCCATGGACATCAGGGGGGCCGTGGTCAGTCGTGGGCAAACCCCAGCGGTGGGAGAAGCAAGAAAAAACATGAAACATCTAGAACCAAACTTAGAAAATCTCCCACTGTATCTCCCCTTACATCCCCGTACAATGATGGGCTTTTCATCTGTTGAAGAATCCTCTGCCGGGTGTCGTGCCCGACTAGGGGCCAAGCCATGGCCCCCATGTCCATTTCAGGGTGCCATTCAAATGATCCCAAAATGAACCGAATCTCGTTTTTTGGGGTTATGACATATTATGAATGTATTTATGACATGTTATGAATATGAACTTTGAGATAGGGGCACTGTTTTTGCTAGAGTCTGGATTGGGCAATTGGTTGTATACAAGCCTATTGAGCAAATCTGTGGGATGGTACCGATGAGAAAACGCATCCAGGGTTGAAATGGTGAACATGTGATCAACCAAAGGGACAATGCTTTGTGCGACACAGATTTATAGAGCATTTATTTAGCTAACCTATTGTAACCTATTGATGGATGCAGCCAGAATGGATTTGCAGAGCTACTGCTGAGCTACGAGAAAGACAGCCAGACTTGCATGATTTGAGTCGAAGCCCAAAACTCAAAACGTTCTTATCCTTAGTCAATAGGAGTTCTACTTTCTGCTTCAGTAGGAACCACTACAAGGTTTCCCACCTTAGTCTCTGTGAACGAAATCAGTCTCACCAAGCCACAACCCACCCTTAAAAGCTACAGCAAGTGACTTGGGGATCGTAGCAATTTAGTGAATCCATAAGGAGCTGGAGGTTTTTTGCTTCACCCAGGGGACTTCAGGTTTTCAATCTGGTTACCGTAAAGCATCATATCATGAATCATGGAGGTCATTTGGCTGGCACATCAAGGCACCATTTTGGTTGGCTTAGTTCCAAAGCCTTGCCCAATGTTTGGGGATTTGGGGGTTCCAATTCTCACCTAAAAAGCCACGCCCATCCGACCTGTTTTTAGCCTGTGCAGATGCAGAGACCACCACTTCGACAAGATCCGACAGGTCTGAACTTCCGAATGGCTGCTTCTGCTGCAACCAATGGGGCCCAGTTGGATGGGTGAGGTGAAGTGAGTTGGATGGGGTCCAGTCATGTGCGGTGGTGAAACCCGGCTTTCAAAAAAAGCTGTGCGAATACTTCAAACTGAGATGATGATCCATGGACTCAGAATGTGTTATTCCTGGGGAGTTCGAGACATCCAACAAAGGGGAGAGAAAGAAACAACAAGTGGGAAGAGATCACTGATCGGGACTTCGCTGGTATCCTGTACAGTACTTTGTGGATAGCAAAAAGCAGTACAGTGGCAAAGAGCGACGGTTGCTGACTTCATTGAGTCTGACTTCTGTCACCTTTCCGAGTGGAATTGATTATTTTGTGTATATATATATATGAGTAACCGACAAAATTATTGTAATACTAATTTAGTCTTGCTTTGCCTTGGCCTTGCTGAGGGGTGTGCAAAACCTTCATAATCGATAGAGGACGACCCTATACCGATATTTTGCAGCCTCAAAGTCTGAGAACGCAGAAATCCTCACTACCGATAGGGGACGACCCTAATTTGCGCATGGCATGAAAATGAACAAGTAATGTTGTCTTATATATATAATATAATATATATATATATTTACTTACATAAGTCAAATAAATGTGTTATATAAATGATATAATGAACCGGATGATTAAGAAGAACGCTATCAGCCACGCATCACGGGATGCCATGGAGATCTTTGACCTCAGAACATCCATCCACCGTAGATGATTTTCCCCCAAAAAAACCCATAGATATACATATGAATGGTAATGTTAGTAATGTTCAATGAATTTTCGTAGATTTTCCCCGTTTTTTTTTTGTCATGTTCATGGTATGTAGTTTCATAAGTTCATGGTATCGGAATGGTTTCACCCAGTTGTTTCTTGGTGTTTCACCACCAAATTTTCATCACTAGTCCCATTGGTTGAACCGTGAATCGTGCCCAGGTGGAACAATAGTGTACAGATACGACAAGGTCACAGTCGCGGCCTGGGTCGCGTCTTTTGGTCTCTTCAGATGTTGGGAAAAGGCCCAAATTTAGTGTCATTTAGTGTGTGTGTGTGTTGTATGTTTAATCATTTGACATGGTTTGAGATTATTGAACATGGATTTAGGATTTAGATGGTTTATCATCATTTCAGCTATTAACATTGCCATGAACATGCATTTTTGCCACATTAGGGTGACACCCCCATATGGATAATATACAGCAATGATATGGAACATATATGAAAGTATTGCACAGATAAACCTATTCATGTACATCTTGATATCAACAGTTCCAAAAAGTCCAGTGTTGGTCGATGACTAGTTATTTAAATGAGTTTTCAGGATCATTAGCATGTGGCTTTATATATATATATAAACATCATAAAAGTATAGGATATAATTGATATAATGGATACATGATGTTGATTGATGACCGCCTGCGAGGAGATCCCATGATAACCCCCATGGTGAGTTCACTTTTGCCTTTTGCCGGAGCTATCATGACCCGCGCGAAACTTTTCTACGTTGCTGATCTTTGATTAGTGAATAACTCTTTCATTCTCTTTCTATGTCATACCCTCCAGTAAATTAACATAGACCCTGGTAGATAGGGGCTGGAAGATTAGTTTCCTTCATTCTCTTTCTATGTCATATCTCTCAAACAAAGCAACTTGGCAACTTGCATCACTGCACTGATAGATGATTGAGTGCCCCAGGAGTTCCAGGCTTACTGCCAACCAGCCAACGTGGTAAACCATGGTAAAGCCATGTAAAGCCTATAATTAACCAGCTCCAAAATCACTATAAATGGGCGGTAAGCATTATCCCCAAATGTTAGCTGGCTTTATGGCATTGGGTTTCCCAAATTATATAACTACCTTGAAGAAAGAGTTCTCCATGCATAGGGATTTTCCCATCAGCTTCAACGGACATTCTGAGGAAGCTGCGGCAGGAATCTGCTTGGTGGAGTGTTCATAGATTTCTCATGATTTTTCCATTTCAATCCCCATCTATCTCGGATTATGGTGGAAAAGTATGACTTCGAACCCTGATGACCTTGATCTTTATCACGTTTTCATACTTTTTCTGTGGTTGACGCCACCATGATGTTTCACGCAGGCGTACAATCACGAGGAAGCCCTGGACGTGTTTTTGCTGGGTGCGGAAAGCCCAAAGAGCTGCAACTACAGCGGTTGGGTTGGTGCAAACAGATGGGGATGGGTCAAATTAGTCAAAACCATGGAAGAGCATTGTAGAATAGTAGAATATGTGAATATGTGGATTTAACCCATCGCAAATCCGGGAACATGATTTACTCTCCAGTAAATTCACATAGACTTTCGCAGATAGGGCTTGGAAGATTAGTGTCCACTAAAGAATGGTGATTTTTTGGGCCGACCTGTTAATTTACCAGAGGGTACAGTAACCATGAAACAGGAGACTGCAGGATGGATCAATACTTATACCATATTTAGGGTATGCAAATTTAGAATTTAGAGCAGTCTTGATAGAAGCGTACCAGGGTTTTGACAGAGATGATATGCTGATGACATATGCGCTATATGATTCTCCGTCGCTGGACAGCCGAAAGCCATGATAGAAATGATTAGTTGAGAAGATTCTCCAATGACGTGCGTTGATTTCCATGTGTAGAAATATTAGCCGAAACCTGTTCAGTCAATAACAGGTACATCTTTAAAATAATATCATAGTAGATTATGATACATCTCAGTCAATATAGAATTTTGGATCTATGAGATGTATCATAATCTAACTATAAGATGCAAAACAATCTCTGTCGCTCTCTCTCTCTCTTTTCGTACAATTCAGAGACACGTACCATCACACTCACACATGTAGCAAAATATGAACTGTGTTTAATGATATCTATATTGTATGTAATGTGGTAAACCGGTAAACCCAATAATAAACCGTCCCATTAACCAACCATTTGGAGGTCATTGTACATAATCCAAATAGAGATATACCATGGTATACCCAATAATATCTAAACCTCCGTTGAGCATGGTTCATTACAGTTATCCCATACTGATATATATAATTATCCGTCATTGTCCCACTTTTATCCCATATTATATAGCTCCTAGTATCCCATTAATAGCATACTATCCGATCCACTGGTTTATTATTGGGTTTACCACAAGATACCAGCTTCCCGGGCTCGGCTGAGTATATTGTCACCTTGCAAATTTACAGGACCTTGATGGACCTTCAAATGTCGAAAGAAGCGGTTGTGAAATGTTGTGAACTTGTTTGATTCTTCGGCGGGTTTTGTTTCGCCTTTTTTGAGTCTTTGTGAAGCCACGTCCGTTTGCAATCTGAGTTCGTCCAAAAGATAGAGTCACCAAAAATCCAAGGGTCAATCATAATTTTTCCACAGAAAAAGATGTAGTTTAGGGGATATATATACACACACGGGCGGTTGTACATTTAAATACCTAAGATATCCCTGTAGGTCTTTTTGCAGGTCAAGAGATGTTGCACTGTTTGGCTTCCTCGAAAGATGTTCCCGCACCAATCCAGATATTTCACTTGGTAACAAAAGGATGATCAGAATATCCAATGCATTCCAATGCGGTTATACGTGCTTGGTATCCTCCCTCTTTGTTGGTATCCC